AACAGAAAGTTTTTACTAAATGTGAATTGAAAGCTTGCAACTAATGTGGATAATAACAAACAGTTATAATTATTAATAATATCTATAACAAGGTACCTACATATAAAAATGTGAATAAAATCGGTGCYGAAAGGATTTCTCTTTTTAAAGATTAGTAGGTAAATATTATAAACAAAGGTATTCCATTTGTACATAAAACAATAATATGATATAAGCGCATAATATATAAATATTTATGAAAATACGGGCCAATATATTATAATAGTTTAAATTAGTTATAATCTAGGTATTATATTTTTATTGAATACCATATATTGGTATTGGTAAGCTGTAGGTATAAAAAAACTTCCTGTATATTAAATATGTCCTAYTATTTTTTTATCTACCGAGATTATATTTATAATAGCTTTTCAATTTGATAAAATTTTAAAAGTAAATTAATATATTTAGATTTATTTCTCTTTTAAAAATATTTATTTTACTTACCTAATTGTTAAAATAAATAAAATTATGCTAATAAAACCTTTACCGATAGAGGTTTAGATGTGAATGTCGCATTATTAAACCACTTGAAGATGAAATCACTTTGTCACTGGTGTTTAATCAATATAGTTTAATTTGTTTATTAAGTTAATATACCATATAATATTGTCAACCGGAGACCCGATTCACTATTTTTTTCCCCCATAACGCGCAAGCCTTTCAGTCATACTAACAAATCCAAACAGACATCAAATGATATACTACGTGTATATATCATAGTTAAAACCTTGAAAACACGTAGGCGTAGGCACYGACGACGCGCGGTGAGCCGATGATAAAACAAACAGCAATGAAACTAGGGCACACCAAATTATTTAAACTACGACAATTTGTTCGGTAGGTATAACCATGTTATGATTATTATTCAAACAATGGTTGGTAACAGTTGGTATAATATACCATATAAAATATTACCTATATAATTGTTAAAACGTATAGCTACTATATAATACCCATATATATGGGTACCCAGGGGCGTGTTTAGAAATGTCTTATGGGGAGGGAGGGCACACACAAAATTCAAATTAAACATAGTTAAAAGTTATAATTCATATAATTTCCACCTCAAAATAATATYATGGCTTACAACTAAATAAGTAATACATGTGCTTGATAGAAATATAAAACTTAATTAATAAGAGAAGTACATCTAAATAAATAAATAATTTAAATCGTTCCAATAATGTTTCATAGCAGTGACAATATTGTGAACYGAACAAGTGAACATTATTCCCATACGCAATACAATAATATTATATTATTATAGGTAGGTAAACATTACAGAGTTACTACATCACAATACATGTTAAGTATAATAATTATATACATTTATTATTTCAAACTACATTAGTTCAAATATCTAGTTACCGATGTAAAACAGTTAAGTGTAATATTTTATTAAGTTTTACTTTCGAGGCGTTCAAAAAGAATATTTCGATGAATTACGTATTTTAACGAATTGATGAAGGTTTTTATCGTTTAGTTTATCTTACCTTGTATGCTGTTTATCTGTTGTGTCTCGCAAATAAAATAATATAATGTTTTCAGTCTTTTCAGTAAAGTAAAAACGAAAATACGTTAAAATTTGCGATTAAAAAAATTAATTTCAGCATCCCTTCTATAGCTAAATGACGGAGACCAACAAACTCAATATTGTAAGCGTATATTATTACGGCCAAGATAAGTTCACGGCAGGTCGGTCGGTGTGCCGCCGAACTTGCGCAATCGCAGTCGGTCTTCGAGAAAATCAATATTAGTCGCCTCAACCTTACTGTGTGACCCACCCATATATATATATATATAGTTATAATGGCATGTTCTATACAAAATAATATAATTCAGGGCCCGCACAATGGTGATCAGGGTTCTCGCGGTTTCCGTTCGATATTAGGCTACTGTTTTATGACATTTCCTGGAAAACTATTRGGAAACGGGCCAAAGAAATTAAGAAAACTTAATTGGTAAACATACAACATAGAAATATTATTATGTATACAGGCGTCATGTTCAGCTTCCGCGAATTGTTTTGTCA